ATTGCTGGGTCAAATGATAAATGTACCTTTAATTCTGACTGATATTGCCAAACTGTCTTCCAAAGGATTGTTCCAATGTACATCCTCACCACCAATGAATAAGTATGCCCACTTCCCTTGATCCCCTCTAATACAGCATTCTAAAAGTTTTTTGAATATTTGCCAACCTGCTAATTGAAAAATGCTATCTTGTGGTTTAGTCTGGATTTGAAAAATGGTATTTCATTGTGGTCTGATTTCCATTTTCTTAACTGTATCTTTTGCAGTAAATCATATATGTAACCTCTTTTGCTCCTTTTCCAGTGGGTATTTTTTTTCTTCTTATTTGTAAGTACTGTTTGCTCTGAAAACTAATGCTTTGTTACATTTGTTGCAAAAATATTCACCGTGTTTGTTGTTCAGCTTTTGAATTGACTTATAGTATTTTTAAGATGTAAAATTTTTAGTTTTACAAGTTGAAATATATGAATCATCTACGGTTACTAGTTTTATATCTTGCTTTGAAAACATTCTCACCATTGCAATTGTAAAAGCAAAGTTCTCTGTGTTTTTTATTTTTAATGTTTAATTCTTTGATCCATCTGGAAATGTTTTGGATACGAGGATTGAAGTAGGGATCCAGTTTGATATTTTTCAGACCTGAAACCACTTATAATAGTCTGTCAACCCCAGCCCCATGATTTACCATGTATCAAAATCCTTATGTATTTCAATCTATTTCTTGACCTTATTCTGCTCCATTTTTCTTCTTGACAGAATCAGATTCTCTTGCTTATTGTAGCTCTTTAATGTGTTTAAATATGCTGAAAGCACCCTCTCTAATTTTTTTCTTCCTTTTAGTATTTTCTGGCTATTCTTTCATGCTTATTTAATCATAATATCTTTAGAATCAGCTTGTGTAGTAATTAAAAATTAAAATCTTATTGATTCATTATGGAGATGGTATTAAATTTATAGATCAGTTTAGGAGAAATTGATTTTTAAATTGACTTTTTAAAATATCAAGGCTTCTTACCACTTCCCAATAGAATATGTCTTTCTATTTGTTAAATTACTCATTGATGGTCCTCAAAATCATTTTAAAGTTTTCTTCACACGAATCTTGCACATTTCTTATTCAGTTTATTCCTACGTAGTTTATGATGCTAGTTCGTATTATAATGGAAATCTCTTATTCAGATATATATTCTATGTTTTTGTTTTTTGTTTTTTTTTGCGGTACGCGGGCCTCTCACTGTTGTGGCCTCTCCCATTGCGGAGCACAGGCTCCGGACGCGCAGGCCCAGCGGCCATGGCTCACGGGCCCAGCCGCTCCGCGGCATGTGGGATCTTCCAAGACCGGGGCACGAACCCGTGTCCCCGGCATCGGCAGGCGGACTCTCAACCACTGCGCCACCAGGGAAGCCCAATTCAGATATATATTCTGTGTGATGTTGGTTTGTGTTTGGAAAAGCTATTGATTGTTGTGTGATTTCAGATTATTTGTAATAGTTTCTTAGGTTTTCCTATGCTTTTCCTGCATATTCAAGACAGTCTTCTAGAAGTAAGCGATGAATTTCGCTCCTCCTTCCTAATTTCTTTACCTCTCATTTCTCTTGTCTGAGCGCACTGACACCTTTCTCCAAAAAGTAGATAATAGTGATGTATCCCTGATACCTTTTGCCATTTAGAAATTTTAAATCTTTACATAAGAAAATCTGTCATTCTTTTCTTTCATAGCTTCTGGGGTTTATATCTTGCTTTGGAAGATATTTCCCACTCCCCAGATGCTAACGAGACATTCCATATTTTCTTCTAATATTTTATAGTTTTCACTTTTACACTTAGATCTTCGATCCATCTGGAATTTATCTCTATGTATTGCATGAGATAAAAATCTAACTTCATTTTTTCCAGATGGCTCGCCAAATATCCCAACATCATTTATAAAATTGGTCAGTCTTTCCACACTAGTTTGAAATGCCACTTTAGTCATATTCTAAGTAGATCAGTTTTCTTTTTAAACCAGAACTTAAAAAATAAATAAACTGAATTACAGTAGAGAACAAAGACAGGAAATGCAGGCAAAAACCAGACATTAAGATAAAGTTGTACACAAACTATCTAATGTATATAATATAATACAAATGTCATTCATACCAAAATAGTATAAATATAAATAATTCACAGAAAATTTTCTTATAAAATACTTCTGTAAGAAAGATTCAGAGGATGGACACCCATGAAATATAAGACTGCAGGAGCTGATTATTCAAACATTGTTTAGAGTTACTCCCATCATATAGAAAGTTATTTAAGCCTCAAAGCCATAAACATCATCCAGCTGCCTAGTTTAACCCCAAATCAGATGTTTCTGAGAGTGGATCAGAATGTCCATTAAGTAAAAAGCGAAGTCTGAAATTAGGGGAAAAAAAGTAACAGTCTCTTCTGTTCTTATAATTCTAGATGGTTTGATTTTTCATTTACATCTCTGAGGCTCTAGATGTATGTCAGCATGTATGTCACATTCCTGGCCCTGGAGTAGAGTGAAGGTGGACAGTGGCCCTATGCAATCCTTTCTCTTTTAACAGGAGAGGTGCTTGAGTCATTGAGATCAAATGCCAAAGACAATAAGAGTCAGTGTGGATCTCTGAAACCTGTATGGAAATCCTAAAATGTGCACTGAAATGCATGCCTTCCCAGGGCTTTGAAAAGTCTATGAAATAACAAGTTAACAATTAATATTATGATAGTGAATCCTGATAGTTAACTGGCCACATCTTTTTGGTCTTAAAAGGCCTGAAGTGCTACTACATGTTATTGGAACTACAACAGAGCCAATTGATGAATTTGTGTAACAATCTTCATTTTGGAAGATTAGAAAGAATGTTATTGACCAATAAAAATTTCCATTTTCTTATGTTATCTGTTCCAGTTTGAATAAAAACTAACAGAATAGTCAAAGAGAAAGACAGATCACTAATCTTGCAGTGTCAAGTCATGTCCTCGGAGACTCCTCTAGTAAGTAGAGAAAGCCCACAAGATGGTTATGAGGTGTGTTTCTACACAGCATCGCTAAAACATGCACACTGTGTTTTCTCACAAATGGAATGATAGGTTTTTAGGAAGCACATTTGATTGAGCTTTAATCAAGCAACTAAATAACAACAGTAACAATAATAATAACAATAGCACCAGCAACCACAAATAAGCCACTTTCTTCATTGGTTGGGGATATGCATGTTCTGTGTCTGTGGAGGCTGGAAGAGAGGTATGGCCTGCATCGCATTATATAGATGATCTAAGTCCGTTATGTCATTACAGGTAAAATAGAAGCCAGTCCCAGAATGTCAGCCTCTGGGAAGTAACTGCTGTCCAGGGCACTTTATAATTACAAAATGCTTAAATACTAGAAACTCATTCACAGAGCCAAGCCCAGTCTCGGATTTGAAAGCATTTAAAAAATATCCTTGTAAGAGCCATACTACTTTATACTTTGTCTATTTTTAGAGGCCCAATATTTGTTTGGCTGGAAGAAAAAAATTGGAACATAAAAAGTATGCCCAGGAGCAAATCTGCAATAATAAACAGCACATACATGTTGTGGAGGAAAACATTCAACATAAGACAGTCAACATAAAAACAGATTCTGCTGAGGCGTCTTTATAAATAGCAGTTATTATTTTGCTTTCAATTGCTAAGCGTTCTAACTAGCATGCCCTTAAAAGTTGTCAAGTTCTTTATATAAATATAATTTCCTGATCTTAACTTTCATAAAATTATTATGAAAAATTATAAATGTATTCCATTAGCTTCATGTGTAATTTTACAATCATCATATTGTTAAAATTAGAAACACAAGGAAGAAAAAGAAAGAGATAGAAACATTATCAGGCACTGGAGAAGCTATTAATTGGAAACTATTAATTTTTCTGTATAAAAACAGAGCTTGCCTATGCAACTCTTTATTAAATGGTTTGAACAGATATCCTCTCACATAGATTTATAGTTGAAATTGTCCCAATTGGTTGTTGGTAGGTCACACCCTGCCTTATCTTTAATGTCCCTTTCAATTGCTGAGCGTAATAACAAGGAGGAATTATGCTTTGAACCCTAAAGGAACAGTTTTGGAGCTGTTTGCTTTACATAATTACTGCTATAAAGTAATTATACTTTATAGCAGGTAGATTTTCACACTGTATCTTTAAAAGCAAAAAATCATTTTAAAAGGTTCTGAATCGCCTCCATCTGGAAAGTACAGAGGCATATAAAGGGAACGTATGGCTATTTCAGTACTGGGGAAATGCGGTCGTAATGCAGGGAAGAAAAGCGTATTTCCTGATTTTCACGATGCTGGGGCATTTTCTTATCTCCTTCGCTAATCCAGGGCTGTTGGCCATGAGCAGGGCTAATGCAAGTCTCCATCACCAGCATCTTCCCTGAGACCAAAGGCCGGCTCCAGATGTGGCAGTTCAGAGGAGCTACCTTGACAGCTGGCAGACACCAGCGACTATGGTAACACTTAAAGGGCCTGAAACACCTTTAGTCACTGCTGCAGTGCGTTCTTGCATCAACCCACACAATTCAACTTGGCAATATAGAAAATGGTAAAGTGGAGTTAAGGGAAATGCTAACGAAGACTGCAAATCATGTTTAGAATGGAAATTATGACTGTGCTAGCATTACAAGTATTTCCTGCCTCCCAACCAATAGATCCGTAACCAGGATGGTTTGCTGTGAATTTTGCGGCACCCAAGCCAAAGCAGTAACACTTCCGTAAGAGCATATGCGCCACGACAGAAGACTACAGCAGCCCAGAAAAATGATTTTTCCTGGGAAGGTCTGTGCAGCGATGAATAGGGCTCTTGATGCTATGGCAGCTGGGCAGAGATTTTCACTGCTTCCAGCCCACAGTGAGGTAATTTTAAAGGCACTTTTCCCTTCATTTATTCTGCATTCACTGAATGTACATTTTTTGATGTCAGAGGGACATTGCAGGAAAGATCAGATGAGATAGTCTGACAATAGAGCCAAAGTTCAAAGCTTCTCTATTCTCAGGTAACAGCCAGGACAGTTTGTCTGCATTAAATGTCTTGAGGGCATGTGTCACTGTAACCCTGTCCACAGCTTTTCAAACAGTTCAAGACAAACAAATCACTTAGCGGTTGAACAACTGTAGCATCTGATGCCATCACACAGATGTTGTAGCGACAGCCACTAATCAAAGTTCTTTTCATTCCGTTGAAAAAGAAGTTCCTCGGCTTTGGTTTAAGATCACTTTTTATGTTGTTCTTTTGAAAATTATTATATGCCAAGGTTAAAAAAAGAGAGAGAGAGAGAGAGAGAGAAGATTCTGTCTATAGGAACTGGAAAGTCAAGCCTTCTGGTGGCATGCTGCTCTCGGTGACTAACTATGGGGTCAGGGGAGAGTCGTCAGAGGTGACCGGCAAGGCCTGTAAAGGGATAGCCAAGCCCTCCTTCGAACCACCTGCCCAGGCCGCAGGTGAGACCCCACTCTCAGCTGGTACACCTGGGCATCTGTGCTCTCCTTTCAGGCGTTCTTGCTGACTCCGCAAGGAAGCATGGACAACCAAGGCCAACACCACCAGGCGGTAGAGCTGTAACAACACCACCAGGAAATTCTTGGCAGCAAAGAACACCAGCATCTGGTTGATCACTTTGAAATAGGTCATCAGTATGAGTCGCACAACAAGGAAGGGACCGTCTTGTATGAAGATGCTGATTCCAATGTTCCACAGGTCGGCGCTGTATTGGCAAAAGAACCGGCTGGGGAACCCCCTTGTTGTCATAGACACAGGGCACACAACGTGCTGTACTGAAAACGCAAGAGAGACCAGTTACCGTAGCTCTCTGAAATGCAGAAAAGTAAGGCAGAGTGAAGCGGGGACAAGTCATCAACCATGGGGGTTACACTCATTCACAATGGGGAGTGATTCTGAAATTTCATTCTGGAGGGAAACAAGTGTAACCACCCTGCCATTTTACATCCTTGGTCATTTTATATTCAAAATGGATCATCTGTTATAAGTCCAATGAAACACATGAAAAAAAGCCGGCCTCTGGTTTCTATCCACGTAAAAAAAAAAAATCAGCTCATCTTCAAGTCCTCACTCACACTGGGGAAAGCACAATTAACTAGGCTAGAAAGGATAAAGAGCAGAAGAAGCCGCCCTGTCTGTCTTTGAAGTCTGCAGAGTAGGAAGGCAGCACGGCAGGGTGCTCTCAGCCTCAAGTCAGGGAGCCTGGCTTCCTCTCCTGGTTTCCTCATTTTCTAACAGCAAGATGCAGGCCAAGTTACTTAGGCTGCCTGGACCTCAGTTTCCTCCTTTGAAAACTGGAGAACAATGACAGCTTTGAGGAGAGGGGTCCCTATTCCCTGACTGTTTTTGGTTCCATTAGACTAACACCCCTGGCACCTCTCCTTTCTCACTGTCTTTCCCTGAGGATAATTCATGACTTACCTGGCTGCTAAATTTGGGAGATGAAACAGAGTGTCGGTGGCCCAGAGCTGTCTGCATCCCCTCTTTGGTACCTGCCTATTTACTGGTAGACTCACTTGGCCCTCTATGTAAATTGTGTTGTGAAAATTCAAGCACTTATTTTCAAATTCAAACTAAAGTCACGTTAAACATCTCTCTGTAACAGGGGTGGGGATAAAAAGCCCAAATAAATGCCGTTGTTATTTTATTTTGTCTAATTCCTTATGGTTTTGTTTCACAGTTTACAAGAAAGACTGGATATAATTACTGATTTTCCAGTTGAACAAAAGGTGGTCCAATCAACAAATGAACCTTTTTTGTTTTAATTTCTAAAATGTAAATTTAATTCAGGGTCAAGGGCAGAAAATAATCCTTTTATAATAATGAAGACTTCCATTTGGAGTTTTCAAACAAAGAATGCCTTCGTCTACTGGAGCCTGCAAATATTATGAAGCTGCTTTGATATGGCTGCACATAATGTACCGTTTGTTGGAAATACAATAGTGATTTAGTCAGAAGTAACATTTGGTCTTTGTTTTTCAAACAGCTGCATAACATTATCACCCCTGAAAGTTTACAGAATTTCTTTCTTAAATAAAAATTTTCTAAGCAAGGCGGTAAACCACAAGATATGGGAGGGTGAGGCCCAGCAGAGGGAATGACAAAAGAAAAACCAACGTAAGATCAATAGTCACCGTTCCTAAGAAGTTAGGGTCGGGAAATGGCTCCCAGAGGACCTCCTAAAAGTATTATTCGACATCTAAACTGAAGGTGCCTAATATTCTCGCAGAGGACACCAGCTGATTAATGGTATAGAGTACCTTCTGGGGCACATTACGAAAAAACCTGTGTTTGTGTGTGTGCGTGTGTGTGTGTGTGTGTGTGTTATTGGCATACATTTGTTTGCAGTTATTAACTAGTAATTAGGTTTGGGGCATTTCCAAAAAGCCACAGCCACTCTT